CGTTCACTAGCGTGGAGTTCAACCGGTGAACACCTCGCAGTGTCTCTCGCTGATGGTACAGTTGCCATTCTAAATGGAACGACATTGGAACCATTACTTCAGTTCTCTTGTGGAGACGCCGAGACTGTGTCAAATGCACAGAACAGACCAACTATCCCAAAATGGTGTACAGTGGTGAAATACTCTCCTATACTAAGCCAAACCGGGTCGAATTCAACCCGTAGCTGGCTGGCGCTAGCTTGTAGAGACTACAATATCTACGTCTACTCGGTCGAGAACACAGGAGCGGATGTGTCGCCTGTATATTCGCTTCGACACACATTTGTTGGCCACACAGCACCAATTGAGGCTTTGGACTTCTCTCTCGATGGCGAGTTTCTCCAATCTGCTACCTCAAGCAACGACAGACAACTGCTCCGCTGGGCTCTGCAGAAGGAGCCTGTAAACAGTGATCCAGCTAAAGACACAGCGTCTGGGTGGGCTCTACTTGACGATACGTGGGCGTCTTGGACTCCAACATTTTCTGGCCCCGTTGAGGGTCTTGCTGACTGTTGTGGGGTTGGGATGACGACGTCGTTAGCGCGTATTAACAGCGGAGTCACAGACTCGGACGGAACATCAAACATAAAGAACTGGAGCTCCTCGCTACCCACGATGGTTGTGGGACTGGATGACGGCAATTTGATGCTCTCCTGGTACTCTCTCACACGCGGCGACGTTACTGTTCCTGTGTTTACTGCTGAATCCGAGCGCTCGAATGATCACGCAGTTGTCACCAAGAAATACATGGGATGTTTTTCACGTGGATCAGTGATACGTCGCGTAGGTTTCAGCTTTGCCAACGCGTTTGTCGTGGCTCTAGCTTGGAACTCTAGTGGTAGTACGCAAGTGTCAGTGTGGAAGACCGACTACGAGGACGAGCTGCGTCTACGCCAGCGGTTCGCATTGAAATCCACTGTATCGTTGGAAACTGACCCGACCTGGTACGTTAGTCCCGTCGATAGGTCACTTTTCGAGGAATGTATTCGAGTTCAACGCACCAAGGCACCAATCTCCAAGGTCATTCAGAGTACTGACGCCGTCGACGAGAGCGACGACAAATGGCTGGAAGACTCGCTTGATAGTCGCGCCAACGATGAACAAGCCTATCTGGAATTCATCTACGGCCTTAACCCGGGAGCGACGGGTAGTAGAAACGTGTTCTACGCTGACGACGCGTGGGAGATCGTGTATGCTGCTGGATCGTGCGGTGTCGTGTACAACACGAAGACACAAACGCAGCTACTCAACTACAACACGGAGGCTGGACGGCAGAGCGTCGTATCAGCATTGGCTGTTCACCCTAAGGGCGATCTAGTTGCCTCCGGTGAATGTCTGATACGGGGCTCTGGAGCTCCGGAAATTGTCATTTGGGATGCCAACAGCGGCAGTACAGTCGTCCGAGTGGCTTCCAAACATCAACCTGGTGTGTTGTTGCTTGAATTCAGTCCCGAAGGACACCGTCTCGCATCGATTGGAATGGAATCAGATCACACTCTAGCGATCTATGCCATTGCTGGAGGTGAGCGTGAAGGGGGTCGTCTTCGAGCGACGTTGTTAGTGACATGCAAGACGTCAACCAGGAGAGTTTGGGGCTTGAGTTTTGGCGAAGACGGTGAGCTGGCGACTTGTGGAGATCAACACATTCTCTTCTGGCAACAGGGCACAGCCAATTCTGGAAGAAACGGGGAAGATGATACGCGCTCGACGGGGCTGAAGAGCGGGTTGCTAACTAGCCACAAAGAATGTAACCCTCGAGCGACATTGCTTCAGGCAGCACACATGTCTGGTCGAGCACGCGTTGTAGTGTCCAGTCAAGCGGACGGAAGTTTGTACGTCTGGAAGGACCGCGTCTGTGTACTTGTTCGTCGTGATGCACACGGTGACGCTGCTATTCCAGCTCTCGCAGTGGATCGTAAGCACTCGCTACTCTATTCAGCTGGAGCGGATGCACGCATCTGTGTCTGGAATACACAGCTCGAACTGGTTCAAGTAGTGGCGGATATTGCTCAGCTTAACACGGGCTCACTCCCTCTGATAAACACCAGTATTCAGTCGCTATCTGTGCGTGACGGACACGTATTGTTCAGCACTGCAGGAAGCGAAGTCTGTGAACTAGTTGGAGCAGGCTCAACGCAGAAGACACATGAGAAAGATTGGAGGCTCCACGTTTACGTTCGAGGCCATGCGAATGGTTTGCTCTGCGGTCTTGCAGTTCATCCGAGTAGACGTGCTCAGTTTGCATCAGCAGGTGATGATGGAGTCGTACGGCTTTGGGATGCAGCCACACGCTCGTTGTTAGCCTTCCACCAGTGGGACTGCGTCTCGGAGTTCTCGACGGGTGCAAGTGGCAACGATGAATTGCGTGCATTAGCATTTTCTGCTGATGGTAAACACCTCGCAGTTGGAACGATAGTCGGAGTCGTGCGAGTGCTTACCGCTGCTCTTGATGGCGTCGTGACGCAGTGGAGCTGCTCGCAAGATCAGCAACAAAGTCACGCTGTTCTGACGCTTCAATACTCAGTAGACGGGAAATTCCTGGCTGTGGGGTGTCAAGATGGCACTGTACATGTGTACAATGCAGCCAGTTATCGGAAGACCACCATGTTGCGAGGATCGATACCAAGCACAGACATGATTCGTCTTGACTTCGCTCGAGATCGACCAGTGCTTCGTGTGCAGTACAACGAAAGTGACATTCGATTCTGGGAACTTGGTACGTGGAAAGCGCTGTCTCCAGTTCAAGTGCGAGATACCCACTGGGAATCGAAACGTTATCCGTCTTTGGTGAGCGGCTCGACTCAAAGCGAAGACTTCAACGGTGCAGCGATGGCAGTCGACGGTCACGCCACACTGGTCACTAGCTGGGCTGTCACCAAGAACGAAAACTTCCTGCTATCCACGGGCGGCGCCGATCGCGTTGTGTGTCAATTCCGCCTGCCACCGCGTTCAGCGACCAGCATGCAATAGCTTCTGCCAGCGCTACTTCACATAAAATTCAAACTCAGCAGTACTACTAGTAGTATTTCACAATCGTTTGTAGAATACTATTTTAGTTTTAATAGTATTCCAAAATACTTTGTTAAGGTGTTCTGGGAAGTACCGAATGGAGATCACGACCGAGACATGCTCGACTGTGCCCGCCGCTCCCACAGAAACCACGCATGCCCCCAACACAAAGAATACCGAGGATGAAGAAGAGATGCCGCTCTTGTTCATGGACGAACTGCCGCCGAATTTCAGGCAGAGCGCGCAGCTGGCAGCCATCGCAACGTTCATGGCCGACAGTGACGACGACGCGGCAGTCGATTGTCAAGAAGACGCGTCAGACACTGGGAACGACAACAAACAACGTCGTCAATTACGCCACAAGTCTGCAAGGACAAGGAGGCGGCAACAACCTTATGCCAAGCCGCCACAGAAGGATAAAGAGCCTAAGTCGAACGACACCAAGGAGTTGCAGCTCTTCCTCTCCATGTTCCACGTTAGTTAAGGATTTCTAAAATTTTACTAGCTGTAAGAGGTTCAAAAAGGTGATAATAGTACTTGCTGCTACTGATCCGGGGCGGGTACAGCAGGTTGATACAGCTCACTGATGCGTGCAGCCCACGCGAGATGCTGATCATTGTCGAGCTGTCGACGTAAAGGAGGAGGTGCTTTCTTCGCGACGCGGTTGGTTGTTCGAATGGGTGCGGTGGAAGCTGAGGACGGGCGGAACTTGTTGGCAGTCGGAGCTCGTCGTTGTCTGTTCAGCAATCGCTCAATGCCCGGGGACACCTCGCTGGTGGCCCAGTACGGTTGCGACTTGGAAAGGTTAGCATTCGTGGTGTTTTGTTTACCTCGAGGAACGAAACGTGTGTGCGAATCTTGATTCGACATCACTTGGTGCACGAATTCGTCCATGAAAATACGTTGCTGCAGGCGCAGCGCTCGGTCCATTTCAGTCTCGTCACTACCTCCTGCTTTCTCTTCAGAAGCTTCATTTGCATCTCCTTCGTTGTAATCTGGTGGGAGATCGTTGAATAGATCGCCGTTGGTTCCAATATGACTATCCTCGAACTTCGAGTCAACGTGAACTCTGGTACTTGTGTTAAAATCGATGCCATTATTTTCTGCTGAATGATCCGTTCGAGGCACAAACTCAAACGAAGTCTTCATCCGTTGGCGTAGTGTTGATCTTGAGCTGCGCTTCCCGGTACTTCCATTAGATAGCAAAGCATTTGGGGCTTTTCTGTCTCTATCACCCTCAGTCGGTCCAAATGAGTAGCTCGGTTTTCGTTGGAAAGTGAGATTCTCGCCCTTCTCAACGTTGTACGCGCCCACACCTACAATTAATCTTATTAGACGGTTGTTTGAATTTAAAATTTGATACAACAGAGATCAATTCTTACCTGGTGACTCCTTTGACAAGAATTGGGATCGGAGGTCGACGGATTTGTTGGTGGCCGACTTACTCGCTAGTTTGGAGATGCTCGACTTAGGCTCAGGAATTGAAGGCGTGAACGTCCAGTACGACGGCGACGTTATTGCATATGGTGGAGGGAACTGCTGCTGTAAGGTGCTGGTCTCACTTTTGCTATCTTCTTCTTCAGATACCGTTGACTCCGGGTATGGAGGTGGGAATCTCGGTGGATCACGCAGTTGATGATCCAGGCCTTCAACTTCCACTGGAGCAGTCGTAACTATTTGCTCGGTAGCTTGGATACTTTCCAACGCCTCGATAAAGTGTCGGAGTTTGTTTGACATGGCAGCATCAACGTCGATATTGTTGTCAAGCTGATCAAAGGAGAATAATACAGCAGTGAGACCAGGCAGTTTTATACAAATGACGAAGTAAACATACCATCAGGAGCACACTTTCATGGCACGCCGCAGCCGCGAGATATGTGGCTCTAATTGCAGGGTTCAAGTCGGCATCCGAATCAATATTGGGTAGAGTTTGTCGGAGTTGGGCTATCGCTGATTCGAGTTGTTGTTGCAGTTGACTAGCAGGTTTCTCGCATTCATCGCCGACCTGTTCGGGAAGCTCGAATATATCCTCTTCAGCTGGTGTGTCGCTAACTCCGTCTGCCTCCGATGCGCTAGGCAAACTCTCATGCTCTGATCGAATCGTTGCGGTCTCTTCGTTATCTACTGGTTGTTCACAACTCCGAGTAGTAGCCTCCGATTCTGGTGCGTGCTGAACTAATTTCCTCTTCGTTGAGCTTTTTCGTCGGCCAGTTGTTGATTTCCGTCTAGCTGGAGATTGAACTGGCGGTTCCTGTAACTCTGCTGTCTTTGAATGTACTCGAATTCTCTCTGCTGCTACGATATCGATTAAGTACCGGTAAAACACAAGTCGTTGAGCACAAACAACACTGGGAAGCTTCATATTCACTACATGTTCGACCTGATCGTTGGCAATACACAAATCGTGTCAGTAACATATCTAGAATCACAGAATCTGGTCATACTAACCGGCATAAAGAGCACAGAATTCTTGTAATCTTCAGACCCAGTCATAGCTACATCTTCATTCACTGCGATACATCTGAGCAGATCTTGCGCGAGTTCTTCCGATGATTTATTCCCTTCCGGCCATACCGAGGCTTGAAGAGGATCTTTCAGTTGATAATTAGAAAGCTGTAGTACTAGATTCTGGAGCTTCGCTGAAAGTGGCAACAACGTGAATTGTTTCTGAAGATGTCGATTCACGATCGCTAGCTTCTCCTCGTTCAGATGCCGCTTTGTAATCTTCATGACGAGGCTTCGAAGTTGCTGTAATTGTCCGAATGGTATAAACCAGCTCGCTTGTAGTAGTACATTCATTGACACGCCACCATTTTGGGTAAAGTCCAAAGGAGCGACAATTGTTCCTTTACGAGTCCTTGTTTTAGAACGTTCTAATTCTTGAGGATCAAACAATTCTCGAAGTAAATGATCGAGTTCCGCTTGGGTTATGTAAATTCCTTGAGTGAGTGGCTGGTCGGGATCTTCAGTTTCTTCAAGTGCCGCAGCGTGAAGATGGCGAAAACATTTGATAGTTTCATCCAGTGCTTTCTCCGTGCAAAACCGGATTTGTGTCAATGAAAGACCCGCTTGTTCAAAGGGAGAAACAGTCGGAATCTGCGCTTGAGAACGCCGAGAACTCCTGACTCGGCCTCTCCTCGTTGCCGTATTATTTGCAGCTTCCTGTCGCAGTACCCGCTCTCGATATCGTCGCTGACTTGCTTGGATTTGTTCGTCGAGTTTTCGCTCACGCGCCAGTTTGGCCTGTAACGAGCTCTTCGATGAGACGGATTCTCGGCTGCTGCCAGCATTGGATTGGTTGTCTTCTTGAAAATATGCTGCTTCGTCGTCATCTTCGTAGCGAGGTCCAAAGATTTGGGCCCACATTACTTTCGTGTCTGGCGCGAAATCCGCTGTCAACGACTCCAAGAAACCTGATGGCTTGGTAGGGAAAGACTCTGTGCTCTGATCTGGTGTTAAATCGACTTCATCTACGTCTTCATCACCAGTATTTGCTACTGACGAGTCTTCGTCCCGCAGTTGAGCTTCTTGAATACATGGTTGTCCATTGCTCTCCACCTCAACAGCCTCACTTTGATCTGTAGGTACGAATTTTTTCACCTCAACATCGTCATTATTAGCATCCACTGGGGCTTGAAGGCTTTTACCAACTGGTAATTGTTCATTCTTCGCTTTTGTCACTTCATCTGCTTCAACAAGATCAGCGGAAGTAGAGGATATTGGCAGCTCCGTGTGAGATTCCTCGTTCTTACTAGTCGGATCAGGAGCTGATTCCGTATTAGATTGATCTTCACTAGACAGTGGCGCTGTTGCTATCTGCTTCAGAGCGGCATGTACATTTTCGTCGAGTTTCGGTTCTTCCGATGGTTCTTCTGGCACTGATGTCTTCACCGATCCCAATTCTGAAACGCGGCTTTTATCCATAGTACTCGAATCCGTGACCTGGATGTCATCGTTATTATCGCCGTTGTTGCCATCAAGAGTATCCTTTATCACCACGTCCATGCTAACCTCATGCTGCTGCACTTCTACCTCAGCACTTGCCATCCATTCCTCGTGTCCTTCAGCAGCAACTAAAACTAGAACTTGTCCTTAAAAATACCTTAACAATACCTAAAATGGTGGAACCGTTTCACATATAAGCAGCGCGTTATATTCAATGTCAATACTATCCACGCTACAGTCATAAGACAATCAACGCGCCCTTGACTCCCCCTCTTGCTCTCTTGCTCGTTGTTTTGTACTCTCCCGTCTGGAAGTTGTCCTCGCATTCCCACATCCCGGTTCTTTTAGATGGGTATCTTTGAGCTCAGTTAATCCGACACCGGTTCCGGGAACGGCTCGTTCGTGAGCAAGTAGCGCCAAATGAGCCATCCAAAGCACTCGACATGGAGCGTCACGCGATGGCCATTGCCAAACATGATGACCATGGATCCAGCCAGTGGCGGCTTCGACTTGGTAGTCCACGAAATAAAGTACAGATTGGACGTCGGCGAGAACGGTTGGATGTCGAACTCTGAGAATCGATCACCGGGAGGCAAGCGGAACAGCCAGGCCCAGAACGATCGGATCTTGCCCTTGTTGCGCATACGCAGAGATGTGCGCCAGAAGTCCTTGATGCTCTCAATGCCGTAGTAGCAGCGCGACGGCATCGACACGGCCAGTACTGAATTTAGGTCCCAGATCGAGTCAGCGTCCAAGACAAAGTCCTTGGGCAAACTCTGCGTGAAGATCTCCTTGATTTTGAGCAGAATATCCATCTGGATGCCGCGTGTCAAGGACGTGCGCTGCTCCTCGTCCAACTCGGCGTTCTTCACCAGCATCTCGGACAACGCCTGATTCTCCGCTGCGAGGGACTCGGCCTTGTGCTGCAAATACTCCAACTTCAATGCCTGACGCTGTCGACACTTCTTGACAGCTGCACGGTTGCGTTCGCGCTTCTGCTCTGTCGAGTAGTTCATGCTCTTGCGTCCACAGCGACGCTTTGGTAGATTCTCAGCGTCTTTGCCATCAGGAGGCGTACTGGTCACAGTTACAGCCTTCGTAGCTGCACTCGCCTTGCCCTCCATCGAGGCTGAAGGAGAGTCATCTGATCGTTGTCGCTTAGGCAACTGTGGACGGCCAATCGACTGGTTTGATCGCTGTCTAGCCACGGTACCTGTGGTGTCACCGGCCCCGTAATTACTCTGCGAAATAGCTGTACTGGTCGGGGTAGGGGCGAGCTCTTCGTACAGTGCGCGGCTCTCACCGCCGCGTCGGTCACGAGGCATGTCCGGGTCATTAAACGGCCGTCTTCCAGTCATCATCTCGTCATTGAGGCGATCTCCAGAGGAGTGCGGTCTTCTCGGCATCTGCTGGGGCATCCGCTGCCGTGTCGGGTGTTGTGACTGTGCATACTCGCGCCTTCGAGCCATTTGCGCTGCCGGCGTCTCCATGCCATCCGGGTACATGTCCAGCATAGCAGGCTCCAGCGGCAACTCGTCCATTCTCGGTCCAAACCCTGGACAGTGTGCTGCATTATAGCGTCGACTCTGCAAGGCTCTGGCGTGAGTGTCTCGCATCAATCCATTGTCACGCGATGGAGCACTGCGTGGGGCGCGTCGTTGCGAGTCGAACTGCATGTCGTCCATTGGTTCTCGTCCTCTCATTTCTCGAGCATAAAGTTCGTGCTCTGGATGAGAACCCGGTCGTCTGTAGAACTGTGAGGACGATTCCTGTCCAAATTCTCGCGGTGCGACTCGCTGGTGCTGTCTTTGCTGATTATAGCGTTGCAATTGGGCCTGACTGTGTCGAGGCTCGACGTCGTAGCCCATCTGGAACGCTCTTGCCCTGTTGGTCTCGTACTCGTCGGCTTCCTGTAGCACGTCAGGGTCAAAGTCCAGTTGGTCTCCTCCATAGCCTCTGGGTCCACGTGGTCCTCCCTTGGACGTCCTGGAGCGGTAGTCCATGGCTGAACCTGCAGCTCTCGAGTCTTCGTGATGGCCAGGCGACTCGTCGAAAGCCCAGTCGTTGAATCCCAGTGGTTGCTGCGTCTCCGAGGCTGCGACAACATAGTAAATAATAATAATAAAATAGAAGTTATAAATAAATCAACTCGAATTTACGAGAAGCAACGGTCATCAGAGTTTTACGCACGCGGTGGCCAGCGGCGCGATGCCGAAGCGGGGGGTTCACGGTCGGTCATGGGGCGGCCTCTGCTCTGCGGGGTTGGACGGCGCGGAACTGGCTGCAGCGTCTTTACCAGGTCGCTGGCAGACAAGAAGGCATCGCCCTCATCCTCATCGGCGTCCGTGTCCCAGCGGGGTACGTGACGTGGGGCAGGGCGGAAGCGGCCGGGAGAGTGCATTTTTAAAGGAGCGAACGAGCGGCAAAGGAGGATCTGCGAGTGCGCCGCTGAGTAATAAGCAGAACACCCCGGTAATTGTTTGCAGGAGGGGGATTTTCTTGCATGTGGAATGAGATTTCAGAGGGAAGTGAGAAAGAAAATAGAAACATGTCAGACTGCATATGGAGAAATGAAGCCTATTGGGAAATACACTTGATTATATGATTTTGAATAACTAAAACCTCCTGGATGTTGCTGAATTTATGCATGGCGAGATTGCTTGATTCATTCAGAAAATAGAACTTTGAAGGTTAGGGCCAGTTGATGTAAAGACATGGCGGCGGCACCCTTAATTACGGTAATAGGATGCACTTTACCGTTTGTTGGTTGGTTTGCAATACAGTCCCGTAATACAAGTGCCGCCTGGAATTGATTGCGAGGCTGTGCAGGTTGGCTCCGCTGCCAGCTGCGGCTGTTTTGCATAATTTTGTGTGACCAGAGACGATGCATATTCGCTGTAAGCGATTCTCGCGATTTCATGCCCATCAGGGTCGATTTTCGGCTTTGGTCGTCATGTGTAGAACAATACATGCCTACTGCGAGCAAAACAACCAGTACGGCCAGTCCTGTCGTCCAACACTATTGCCGCCGCTTCGCATTTGGAGATATCCGAGAAAAAACCTACTCGTCGCATTGACGCAGTGCGTCAAGAAAACAAATCAAGATTGGTGCAATAAGTTTGAAAAATCAAACTCAGTTGATGTATGGGTTTGCTAGCTCAGAAGGCAACATCCATGTACGTTTGGCTGTTCATTATTTTACCGTAAGTAAATTCATTATGAAGAACACATTGATCAATTGTACTCGTGCGCATTGAACAACGCTTAATATTCTCAGTAAATTTATAGCTGGTGGTTTTGAACTGAACTCACATCACTCAAATAATCTAACGCCAGTTTTTTTGGTAGAAGTACCTATTTCGAAATTATGTAGTCCACATAAATGGATCAATTTAATTGCAGCTGGATTGCCCAAAATAATTTTTCTTTAAGAAAAAAATATTTTGACAACTATTAAAATAGATTGATCCTCCGCTCAACCTCCATAGCTTACATGTAAGTTAAGGGTGTAATGCCTTATTGCAATACTTAAAGAGGTTGCTTCACCGTTTGCTCTCGACTTTCAACCAAGTAACACAATACTGTTATTAATACTGTGTGTGGCATTATGGGTGGTCGATTTGGGTTTCAGGTCAGCCAAAGACGAGGCAGGTATGATCACAGAAATTGTATGTTGTTTTCCAAAGTTGTTTCATGGTTGGTCGATTAATGCTAATAGTTGGGATAGATTTGATCGGCCAAAGCGGTTGTCTGGGACGCCCAAAGGAGCGGAACGATGCCGATGGAACTTACTGTTCTAGTGATGTTTTTTAAGAGTGTTCGTCTTGTATTTCAGGAAGAAACGCACTGATGTACTTTTATGCGCGAACTAATACTTTACTGATAGAAGTATCACAAGTAAGCTGCAGCAAGCTTACGGTTAATCTCCGCGTTACAAATAGCTACTAACCGGCTTTGGCGCCGTCGTGGGAGAGGCAACGATTGTCTTATAGAGTTTGCAGACCAAAGCTGAACGAAAGAAGATGGTGTTGGTTCTCATAGTGGAGCATATCTACTTGATACCAAACAAATGAGCACTCACTAAATCAAACTCGAACTCGAATAGAGTGATTTGACGTTGATTCGTGATTCCGCTGACTGGTAAATCTGGCAGCATCAGCTGAAAATAGGCGATGGTAGGACACTGGAAATAGCAGTCGCTTCATGTCGTCTTATGCCTGCCTACACACCAGCATCACTCTGCCAGATCAGCTCGAGGACGACCATCGTTGTTAAAATAAGCATCAAGCCTATTACTACTACATAAGTCGACAGAACATTCGAGTCTCGAAAGCACGGAATTCGAACGCACCGAGCCGCGCTATTAGTTCCCGTCGTTAGATAATCATGGCGTCCAGCATTCCGAAGCCACGAGCATCAATGACTGTGACGCAAGGATTGTCCCCTGTAATGAAAGTGCCTCTGAACAGCCGGGTGGTGCTGTCTCGAAGACGCACTGGCACCGTGAAATATGTTGGAAAACTGGTTAATGAATCGGGCGAATGGTACGGTGTGGCGCTGGATGAACCCAAAGGCGATAGCGACGGCATGAGGGGGAAAGATCGATACTTCCATTGTCCAGCAAACCACGGTGTCTTTGTGCGGCGGAAGGAGATCAACTACGTCAAAGAACCAGGGACCTTTTCCAAGGGTCCGCCCTCTCCCGTCACGGATGATAGCAGCAGCAGTAGTAGTAGCAACGTATCGACGGATCAGCAAGAAGTGAATCTAACCAACGTCCATCCTGTTCCAACTAGCACCGAGAGTCCGACCTCGCCTTTAATGACAACGTTTAAGGGTTTCAGAAAGCAGCTGGACTTCATTTCTCTCAAGACAACGGGTCCAGGCCGTACCAGGGAGTCGAGTCCACTCGCATCGCCAGTCTCGAGTTCACCATCGTCTCCGACAGCGAAATCCGGGTTGAAGCCACCATCGCCGTTCCGGCGGTTTTCATCCTTCTCCCAAGGTCTACCAATTCCTGGAGGCCCAGGAAGCCCAACTAACAAGACTGCTTCAGCATCGCCTGAGTATCGAAGAAGACCGTCTGGTATCTCGTTATCACCCAAGCCATCCCCCGTTCGACGAATCAATAGCTTTAGGGTGCCGTCTTCAGAAGACAATGAAAACTCTATTCGACCCGTTGAAACCACGTCTCCGTCATCACCAGACCACTTCAGCAGCTTCCAGTATTCACCTTCCAACCACTTTCCAGTGACAGAGGAGCCCACCGACACCTCAACAATGGCTGAAAATGAAGTATTGCCTCCTCAACTACATGTAGTCTCGCCAGAGATGGAGATCCTCCCAATAACGGACATCATGGAACACCGACCTGTAGCTACTCCAATTATTGACGATGAACACAATGACGTTCAAGTCTTGAGAGCAGAGAGCGTTCAAGTTTCTCCAAGCCACCTCGATAGTGTATTTCCAGATGAAAGTATCGCATCTGCGGAATTTATCAACGCAATGCCAACGAGTGATCTAGCCCAAGAGCAAACGACGCAGAGTGATTCCCTCCTTAAACGTGTCATGGCGGCATTTCACATTCCACCCATCGATGTTAGTGCAGTAGCTGATGCCAGCACCACCAGCGACTCACCAGCTTCGTCGCCACGACAGGAACCCGAACACTCAAGTTCAATCCGAGACACCGACACTAGCGATGAAGACGGCCAAGCACTATCATCCGATAGAACTTGCTCCTTTCGGTTGGCTCGATCGAGCAGCTTCCGCGTACCCTCAATTGATGTACAGAGTTCCCCATCGTCATCACCTGAAAGCTCTCCACCAAGACCCAACCGCAACAGCACACTGAACGATAGCAAAGGCTCGCCTACGAGTATCACCGTGCCTGGTCCTCGGGATGGTATCAGTAAGACGTCGACAGGTTCGGATTCCAAGCAACGAGTTGGTTCCAAATCGCCACGAAGTCCGCGTGGTCGTCAAGACCTCACTACAGTGGAGTCGCTCTCTCCAGACAAGAAGCTAGTTGAGGGTGCTGGAGAGAGACCGCTATTCTTCCGACGGATGAACGTAGGTCGGTCCCCAATCGAGCGTCGGTCAAGCTGCAGTTCCTTCTCGACTTCGTCTCCGTCACCGCCAAAGCTGTCGATCTCCAGTAATACCGCAAGTGCAGCATTCCGGTCGACTCGAGTGGAAGAATTGGAGAGAGAGATCAGCATCATGCGCTCAAGCCACGAGAATATCGTCGCTGTGTTGCGAGCTACTAACAAGCAACACGCTGCCAATGTTCTCGAGTTGCGAGCGCAGGTGGCGGCACTGACAGAAGGGAATCTGTTACTGGAGCGACAACTGACAGCCAAAGGTGAACTGGTTCGAGAACTTCGCGAGATGGAAAAACAACACCAGCGTGACACCGTTAGCGTCAGTGAAGTCCAGAAGATCCTGGAGATCAAGGACACGCAGATCCAGACTCTGGAGCGAGAAATGGGTCAACTCCGACAGCGACTGGCACGTCTCGAGTCGGACAAGGACAGTCAGTTGTATAAGCAGTTCCAACACTACGAGTCACGCCGTGAGCGTGACGAGAAGCGTATAAACGACCTTCGCAAAGAAGTCTTGGCAATGGTACGTCCTACTGGGAATAATGGCAGTGATACACCACTAACTTTTGCAATGCTCTGTGTTCTATCAGTGCAACGAGCGCCTGGAGCTGCAGTCGGAAGTGCGTGATCTTAAGGAAATGTCCCTCCGATTCTTTTGAATAAACTGTAGACCCACCATTTCTTCGAGTTGCAGTGCATTGATTGCCATCAACTTATAAAAACCACGTAGATCTATCGGAAGCGCAGCAAGCGGTCGAAGCCTTCAAATGCTCGCGCCTATGGCGGCGAGCTGCTGTCCACTCTCCGGTGTCGATAGATGTCTGACCTAACTACTTGGCCGCAACGAGCTGCAGCCACGACACATTATTCAGCAATGCTCACGGTGCGCGATGGTCGCTTACGCCTTCAAGTCCTTGGCGTTGACTCGGTTTTTCTTCCGCTTCTCCTTACGGCGCTGGTTGCGCGCCTTCTTCTGCGCCTCCGAGAGCGACACACGAGACACCTGGTCCACGCCATCGGGTGACTCGAAGCCATCGCTGGCCGTCGACGAGGTGGACGTCGGGGCCTTGGAGATAGATTTCCTACTCTTGCTGCGTTTCTTCTTCTTGGGCTTCTGCTCCGATGTCTCCTCCATTTGTTGAGCCGCAGACGTGAGCGTCACCACCGACGCCTTCTTCTCACTCATTTCCACCTTGAACGAGTGCGAGTCCTCAGACTTGCTCGTGATCGTCACAGTCTTACCCACCACCGTCTTGTTGGCCGTCGGCTGGCTCGTCACGTTCGTCTCCACAACGGTAGATCCACCGGGTGTTGACGTCGTGGTAGTGGTAGTCGTTGTCGTTGTTGTGGTTGTAGTCGTAGTAGTGTTCGGCTTCACCCCATCGGCCTTGACTTCCTCGACCTTGGCCTCAACCTTTGGCTCCTCAACCTTGACCTCCTCAACCTTAGCCTCTTCAACCTTAACTTCTTCAACCTTGTCTTCCTCCTTCTTGTCCTTAACTTCTTCAGCCTTTACCGGTTCAACCTTGGTCTCTTCCACCTTAACCTCCTCAGTCTTTGTCTCCTCCACCTTAGTCTCTTCAATCTTAGGCTTAACTTCCGCCTTCACCTCGACCTTGGCCTCTTCCGCCGCCTTCTTCTCCTCAACCTTAGAATCATCCTTCTTGTCACCCCGCTTGGCGTCCATGGCGTTATCCTTGATGGCGGACATGACAGCAGCGCCAAATGCAGCGTTGACCAGAGCCTTCTTGCCCTCCTGGGCCTTGTCTGAAAGTGCGGACTTCTCCTCCTTGATCTCGCTCTTGGGCTGAGGCTCCTGCACTGGCTGCGTGTCCTCCTTCTTTGCCGAGATCTTCTTCGCCTTGGCAAAGCTCTTGTCCACCTGCAGATACTCACGCAAAACCTTGGCAAAGCTCTGCGGCTGCTTCTTGGCCAAGAAATACTTGGTCACGGCCTGCAGAAACGCATCTAGACGCACTTTGCGTTCCTCGGGCTTGGGCGTGAAGAAGAATCCGCCCTTGGGCGGGAAATCGAACTTGAAGCTACGATCCGCGGCCCTGAGCGCCTCGTAGAAGGCCAGGAACTTGCTGTAGCGGATGGCCAGCGTCCAGCTCGCTCCCTCCAGCGTCACCACCGTCGTGTACGCGTGGAACGTCGTGTAGTCAAAGCCCGTGACGCGCGCCGAGAGCGTCGCCAGCGATGGCTTGGTCGTCGTCGTCTTGGTTGCCATTGTTGCCTCTAAAATGGCCACCACGTGCGCTCCACACAGAAGAATCTCGAATGGCGCCAAAGGTGGCGAGGTACGGCGCTAAGCTCGTTGTTTAGAGACCATGCGCGCGGCACGTTTTCCCTTCAGAGCAGCGCAAAAAGTGGCCGGACTTGGATTTGCACGTTGTTGTGATGCGTCAAGTTTTGTAAGGCATTTGTATGGCGTCGTGCTTTTTGTGATAATTGAAGCCGGGTCTATACCTTGTTTGGCCAAATTTTGTGTCTTCGGGACTATCTTCGCGCAAAAAGCTCTCGGATAGAGCACGGCGACGATGGTTGCCTGTGGCATTGCTGCGCTTTGCCGTTCATGCTCTCTTCAGGACACCTTGAGAAGCTTCACCAAGCTGTGCGCGGAGCTGGAGCGCTTTTACTGCTGCCATGTACAGGAAAATGTTGATGGCAAAGCGTCACCTTTTGACAAGCAAAACTTAAGTTTGCAAATACGGTTTGACCTTGTTGTTGCCTATCCGGACCAGTTCCACGAGGGTGGGTGCCTGCAGTTCGTCTGCGTGTTGTCAAGCTGCCAGAAGCGTGCCACGAAGCATGGATGCTGGACAAACTTGAGATCATTATGAGCCTGTTACGGATCTCTTTAGTCTTAGGTGAGACCATTTTGGGCTCTTGGATTCCTAGCCGCAAGTTTTCCGAAGACAGCCTGGATGCTAGCAACCATTACTGCGGTGGACTTTACACTTTATGATGATGGTGGCCGCGTGGCTATAATACCACGTACGTGTTGGTCATCTTCAAGCTCCAAACAGCGTCGTGTTCTGAATCGCGAACAAATTGTTCAGTATAGGAAGTATTCCGCGTGCAAGAACGCAAAGCCTTGGTTGCCATCTCTCAAGTTGAGAGTCTCAACAATTACTGTGTGTTGGCGCTCGGGCCGAGCTTGTGATAACAAGAAGCTTCTGGGCTGGTTCCGCCAGCAAACGGCGACCAAAACGGGGCTAAAGCGCGTAGACAGCTCCTTGAGACACTGACTCTTGTACTCTTGTCAAAGCAGACGCGGTGGGTGCCCGGGTTCGGAGCCGCGGCAACCAATGCTTTCGTCTTGCAATTGCCCGCAATAAGCTTCGGCGAACGCTAGCACGCGCACGACAGACCGAATTGCTCGTCGCTCTGCTGCAGTGAGGATACCCAGCGCGCACAAGCTGCATTTCCATTTGCGATCTTTGCGCGTGGGTGGCTTTGCCGTGTGATCTCTGGCTGCAGAAGCGGTCAATAACATTAGGAACTGCAGCCTCCACTTGACAGTGCACGTTGAATTCAATGAGGAATAATTCGAGCTGTGCTTGAAACAGGTTAACTTACGAGCAACGGATGCACTACTTGCATTACTTTACATTTCTTCGATGGTGCCGGCTCACACGACGATGCCGTTGCTAGGGCGCTCCGCTAAGGAGTAGCGCGACGTACCCACGTCGCAGTTGAACGCCTGGAAGAAAACCGGGTGTCGATACGGCATGAGGCGCAGGTTAAGTTCTTGTTCAGCGCGCAGGAGTTCGGCCTCGGCCGCTTCCTTAGCCTCAGCCTCGAGCTTCGCCTTCGCTTCAGCTGCTGCTGCCTCCTCTCGAGCTTTGGCCTCAGCCTGAACTCGAATAGCAGCCTCCTTCTCCTCTTGTTCCTTCTTAGCGGCGGCGTCCTGCTCCTCTTTATCAGCTGCTGAAAGACCTAACGTTCCCATGAACCATCTCACCACGGGGTTCTCACCGTCGGCTTCCTTCTTGCTTGGATTGGCATCACTCTCCTCCAAGCACGAGTCATCTTCCTGAATATATTCCACTGAGACTGCTGTAAGATCCGCCTCGATGGAGCTTTCGGTACTAGCCACTTCGATTGGCTCTTGTACTTCGACAACTGCTTCTTCAACGGCAGGAAAGATGTCTTCGGATACCGTAGTGTTAGCGACTGTCGGCTTCGTTTCCGTCCTAGTGGCGGTGCTCTGGGTCTGTACTGCTGCCTTCTCAAATGCAGCAGGCTTTTCCTCCTTAACTGGGATCATCTCTGGAACCGGGGAATTGGTGGCGATCTCCTGCTCTCCAACATCCTTCTCGACCTTAAAAGCCTTGGATTTCTCAACGTTTTCTTTCATCGTTGACACCACTGCGGCCTGGATGGCTCCATTAACGAGCGTTTGACGCCGAAGTCTCGCGATGTAGTCGTTGGCAACCACCTCAGACATCCGTGGCTTCTCCTCCAATTCTAACTCGATGGTGTCCGTGTTCGTGTCGAGCTCGGCTGGACGCTCACGGTTGTCGCCTTCGACGACCTCCGTCTTGAGCTCTTCTATGTCTTGGACCACTTCAACATCAGCTTCAACTTGGTTGTCCTTTTCAAGGATTTGTGGGGTGGACTTGTCCTCCTGGACATCGTTGTCATCGTCCTCGTGGCCGCTCTCATCGAAGTCATTGTGGTCATGGCCGGGCATGGGCGTGTCCAAAAGGAGCTCCTCAGCCACGGAGCTGCCTTCGCTGGCTGTATGCTCCTCATCGTCGTCCTTGTATTCCAAATGCTCAGGGATCTGCAGCAGCTCGCCTAGTAGCGCTTCCATGCGCTTGGGGTGGCCCCGCATGTCAAAGTAGGCGAGCGTACTCAGCAGGAAATCATCCAATTGCTCCTGACGCTCCTCAGGCGGCGGTGAAAAGAACAATCCACCTTTCGGCGGAAACTCCACCATGAAATGCTTCTCGAGTGCCGTGAGACGCGTGTAGAACTGGTAGAAGGTGTTGTATCGGATGGCCAGCGTCCAAGTGCGGCCGTCCACCTCCACCTCGGTCGTGTAGGCGTGGAACGTGGTGTAGTCGAACCCGGTGACGCGAGCGTCGATCTCCCTCATGGCTTCGACTTCCGCGCTCTCAACGTATTTGTCGATTTGCAATCCGCCTCGGCTCGATCCAGAAAATCACGAAGTGAGCCAGTGCTGCCCTCGGAAGACAATACGATGTGGATAACCCATGATCTCCTAGTTTTTTCGCCTGCTGAACCGATGCGGCGAAGAGATCCTGAAAGCGAAGAGGCATCTAGCATAGAGCGGAAAACGTTCTTGTCGTGTTGCAGGTGGCCAAGATCTCGCTGGCCAAATCTCTGTGGCAAGCTTCTTACGTCAGGACTCTACTGAAAGTTTGCGAGCACGTCGCATCGACCCAGCTAAATGCCCATGTCAACATGGGTTTTTACTTCAACACCAAGATCGCCATCGAAGGGCTCGTTTGCCGACGGCGGTCTTCACTACAGGAGCTGGCGGCTACCAAATATGCCTGCGTACGTGGACGCAGTGCTAGCGCCGTCAGAGTGCTTTCCGGCCGCCTTCCAAGGGTTATCAGTGAACACTGGTCACTACAGCCGCAGGGGTTCGCGCGAAAATTGGTGGGTCTCTGTTGGCCCCAACTCTGTCCTCGCGCAGCGGCCAGTACACTGCGACAATGGACAAGACAACCGGATAGCCATCAGCTCTAACGAGGCCGTTCCAACGAGCTTGGCGTCCACCTTGGTTTTGGCGGAGGACAGATTTTTGGGGGCTTGTCAAAAACGTCCAACAGTCCCAGCTGTTGATGCTGTTGATGCTGTTGATGCTGTCTCAAGCATGTTTGTTTGTGTATTGTCCGAGTTGAAGCGATCGGAGAATTGGAGAATTGGCCACAGCGATGCATCACCAGAATGCACTCGAATGCGATTGCTTCAAGCATCCCTTCATTACAGTGGAGCTCGTGGTGTTTGTCTGCGTAAAGCCAAATCATGCTGATATTAATACTGGTACCAGCGAATGGATCGCGAACTCAAGTAACGCACGTAGTTTCTTGCGTCACCCGACGGAACTTAAACACACTACTTGCCGTCTTCGACTACTAAACAACAAGTTGTATTTTACTGGGCTCGTACACCCGATATGCCAACGCTCAACTTACTTATCTGCGGGCAAGCACCATCGGTAGCAGCAGCGCGACGCAGAGCACTACCAGGTTCGTCTTCTTCATGCAGCGGCGTCGGATAAATCCGAGTAGAGACTTGGGTAAGCACGCGGCGATCCAAGACGATACACGTCCACTGGTTGCGAGCTCTTTGTACTCCACCTTGTCGTTTGGTGGGGTTCTCTCGCAGGTTGCTGGCTTCTCAGCATCCTGCGGTTTTGGTGGTGCAGACTCGCGTTCAATGGGCTCAGCAACCGGCTGCTCCTCAGACGAAGCCATCTTCGGCTCCACCGCAGCAACAATAGTCTCCTCGTCGGCTGCTGTCTTGGTCTCCACGACCGGTTTTTCAACTGGGATCTGTGCTGCAATGGGCTTTGTTTTTTCTTTTACCTTCTCGACGTCATTGATCTCCTTTTCAACCATCTCCTTCACAAGTTCGGTCTTCTCCGCTGGCGCGGGCGTCTCCACTTGAGCTTTTGCTTGTTCGTGGGCAATTGGAGCCTCAGTTTTCTCTACTGGGCGGGGCTCCTCAGCTACAGGGTTAGCTGGTTGCATCGGCTCAGGGGTAGCAACGACCTCTTCCTTCGCGACTTGAGGTTCCAGCATGGCTTCCTGGACTGGTGCTTGTTCTGTCACCTTGGTCTCAGCGACCTGAGGCATCTCCTCCTTGCGATCTACTGCCTCGACAGAGACAACACTCTCAGGCGACGGCGGTTCATGCATCGGCTCGTCTAGGACGCTCTCGGTGCTGGTGGAGACATCGTCGTCCTCGTGCTCGGGGGACTTGAGATGACGCGGAACTTTGAGCAGATCGCACAGCAAGTCCTCGATCTCAGCGGGGTGGCCCTTAGCGGCGTAGTAGGCGAGTACTTGCTGCAGGAAGACGTCGAGTTGCTCTTGCCGTTCCTCGGGCTTGGGGGTGAAGAAGAGCGTGCCCTTGGGAGGGAAGTCGGCGTGGAAATCCGAGTCTTTGGCCACAAGCTCGCCGTAAAACTCGTGGAACTTGCTGTAACGCAGCCCGAGGCGCCAGCGGTGACCATCCACATTCACCTCGGTCGTGTACGCGTGGAAAGAGGAGCGGTAAAAGCCCGTGACGTGCGCCGAGATGGTCTTCATGTTCTCGGAAGTCTCTGGACGGCAAGCCGCGCGTCTCAGCAGCAAAAGATAAAGTGAGCGTCACTTTCTTTTGGCAATTTTTTGGCTGCAATGCCCAGCGCCAGGATCACTCCGCTCGCGGATACTGCTGGACTGCGACGCCCCTTTTCTCGGCAAATCAGCATCGAAGCGGCCTGTTTCCGCCCGTGGAGAATCATAGACGCTGACGCCAATTGTGGCATTGCAGCGATGGAATGAGTCAAGCGCAAAAGAGCTTGCCACACCAGGCATAACCAAGGCATGCAGCCTCCATTAGAGGAGCGACCTGCTCACCACAAAAATTAACGTTTCGGTTGATAAGTGGTCATTGTTGCATTTCTGAAATTGTTTTCAAGCTTTCTGGACCGATTTTCAGGAATTTTCCATGTGACAGTGCCGCTCCGAATAGAGGACCCGATCTTTAACCGGCGTCGAAATGATACCTCGGAATCCTACGACGTACAAGCGTGGTAGCTTATCGTGAGACTGCTACCGTTGATGAGAAGGCCGTCGTTCGACTGATCATGCGAGTGATGGTCGTAGTCAATGCTTGAAGCCAGAGCTAGCTGCGAGGAGGGCACAATCCTCTAGAGTCTCTTTGAGGAGAGGCAGTGTTCGACTGCGGACTGTAACTGGTTCCGGTTCCTGATATTATACACTTGTCCTGTTGCATGTGCAGATGCGCAGTGCTACACGCTGTTCATCTGCTTATAGGAAGATGAAGGCTGGCTTCGACATGAATCCAGCGGAGACGTTTGCTCCTTGTGTTCGTTGTAGACGGCAGCGTCAATTGCGCTAGCTCCAGGGCTGAGAACAGAAAATTCGCTACTCATGGATGCCAGCATGGGCATGCTTCGGGTCATGGCTCGCCCTATCGGTGCATTAACGTCTTCTTTCTCCATCTCTCGACAAGCTCGACGCGTTTGCCGACGTGCCTTCCAGAGTGAAGTGAGTGCCACAACCAAGAGCAAAAACTCCATGGCGACCAGTAGCACGGGCGCGAACAGATCCATCCCTTCCCGTTCGGTATACTTGGACGAGTTACGAACGAGAAATGTGACTGCTACAAGATAACCGAGTCGTTCTGCCAGGTACGTGAGGCTGGTGATATCTACAGCGTCCACATAGGCGATCATGGCGTGCAGGACGCAGACCACGAGGAGGAAGTAGACGACGATGAAATTTTCGCCCACGTTTGTGGTAGATATGACCATGTGAACCATGCCTAACGGGACAAGGAAGTCGTTCAATCGGTCCCAAAACACTTGCAACGCGATGCTTGCCTTCTCGTACCTGGAACCTTTCACAGCGTCAGCTCCAGGCAGCCCAACCGCAGACCGCCCAAGCCCCTGTAATGCTCGTCCCAAGCTGTCCACTGCTCGTGCTGCGGCGATGGCGCAGATAAGATCTGCTACGAGTGCGTTGACGCCTCGTTTAGGAGTGAACAAGTTGTCCTGCACGAAGACAACGGCGAAGACGTAGATAGAGACGGGTAACAGTGCCAGCTTCACGACCACAACACCAATTGCAAAGTAGTTCGGGATGACAGCGTTGTCGTGCGGCGCTGGCCATGCAGTCTCGCTTAAGCGTTTTGACGAGTACAACACAAACCATCGAGCCAGTAGCGAGATCCCCAGCACTGTGGAGAAACCAACTGCAAGATACACCATACTAGCGTCCACTTCATGCATGAGTTTGTCCTCACTGATCCCGTTCAGTACTCCTTCCATAACTTGTACATCAGCTGCGTCGGTAGTCTCGTAGAAATTGAGTACGACCAGCACTGAGTAAGCGCAATCAAGGAAGGCAAACGCCCAGTCTTTCGGTAGAACGCCATCTAAAACGGTTGCCTTCCAAACGCCAAGTCGTTTGAATTCCAGACATTGCTTGAGCACGCTGTCGGATCGCTCTGGGGGCATGTGGTGTAGATTGGTGGGTACTTCTCGACACATTCCTGGAGTTGGAGAGTTAACGTCTCGAGAACGATCGTCATTGCAAGTGCTAGCTTCACTGGGACTTGGAAAAAAACCACTTGTCTGAGTATTTCGGCCAGCATTGGTGGGCGTCATGGTTAGTCGTTGAGCCCTCGCTACACGTCTCCGTTCACGACGTCGATGACGACCTTCATACAACCGCAACCCAGTGAGTACGATATCAGCTACCAAGAAGACAACGGCGCCAACAATGTCGTTGTCCAAGGTCGGAGATACCTCGACTACGTTCATGCCCATGACAATCGTCATGACCGTCACGTATCGATGCAGCTGGTAGGAGAGACGCTCAGGAGTTGAGCCTCTTTGACAGCACGTCCAGCTAGCCCAAGCCATGGACGGCACCTCGGAAAGTAACAGTAGCATCTCGCTCTGGTTCAGGAAGGAGGACACCATGCCGCAGTCTTTCCACCGGTCGAAAAACGTGAGGATCAACTGTTTGGCAGTCACCTTCCCATGCGCTTGCTCCTCGCTCCAGTCGTAAATAATCTCGTCGCGTGCTCGACTCACCAACCACGTGTGCACAATGGCAATGGAGTCTACCAGTTCGCACATGACGAGAATGAGAGCACTGCACAGTGCACTCGTCTGCTGTTTCCACTCCAAACCGACGGAGTTGGCGAGACGCAGAGTCACGTACACCAAGAAAAAGAACTTGAGCAACGCAATGACCGGCGGCAGGTATCGTCGCCTGGTAGTGAATTTCATGGGGCACGAACAATCGAGCAAAGCACTGCGTAGACCCCACTGAATGATCCTCGAGCCCCAAACAATGAAAAGACTCATCACGATAATGACCATGAGGACTTGCGGCACGTGATCCATCACCACCGGCAGTGAGAGCGGCGCGTCTCCACCGTCGAAGTCTTCAGCTTGAAAGCAGTTGACCACGGCACCAGCTACAGCAACCTGCTCAAAGCACAGCACGAGGAATTCGAAAACGCCCAGCTCGGATGGTACTATAGCACTCTGTTGGTCCTGCAGCCAGCGGAAGGACTGCGCTGCATGTTGCAGCATGACCACAACAACGACGCCCTCGTCGGGTAAAAATGGTCGGCTTATGTGGGCACTACTACCTGGTACTTAACTCCGAACTGGACAACTGAACGTAGCGATGCATGTTGTAAAGAGCTCAAACGGTGAGAGAGAGTTTTGTTTTGATTACCACGGGCACGAAGCTTGTGAAGATTACGCGCAGTCGTCTGCCCACAACAATGACGTTGTCACTGGCAACACCCAGCAATGCTTGCCAAGCCCATCAAGGTGAAAATCGGACTGCAAATGGTTCCTGACCTCAATACAGTATGCCAGTACACTAGTACACTAGCCTCCCGGTTTAATTTCTTTTTCTCTAGGAACCGTCTTCGTCAACACGAGGAGCAGGAACGGTAGGTGTGTTCACACCTAATACTAGTAGTACACACACTTGTGAGTACATGTAATGTAAGAATGAAGTGGGGCGCGAAGAAGCGCTGCCATGGAAGCTGCGAGCACCACTACTGCGTTCTGCTCTAAATAAATTGTTACTATGTCCACAGAGTGGACTCGACTCTGATGAGATATCACAATTGGCTGCTGACTAAAAATATCTATCATATCGCTTTACATTGCAGTACGTATATGTACTGCGGATGCCGTATTCGTCGGGGGAACTTTGGAAAGCCAAAGCGTTCTTTTCCAAAAGAGCAGAATCTAGGTAGGTCTTCCAGTGGAAGAAGGAAAGGATCAGATGCGAGACACCAATTGTTATCGAAGTTGAAATTTGTGTTTAAGAACATGAATTCCGACAGTCAAAGTGGATGCAAACGAATTCAGACTAGCCATCGCAAACCATAATCTACATTTCGGTGGGCTCGATGCGCACTCAGCATGTTGTTGTCGCTTGACTATTGCAGCTTTCATGTGGACTACCAGCGAATGAATGAACACGAGGTCCTTGACATTTCGAGCTTGAAATGCAGCGGTACAGGCAGCTTACGCTACGCCGACCAGCAATAGAGCGGGGTCGTGGCGTCGAGGCATAATGCATCAGCTGTTGTGCAATTGCGGCATAGGATTTTTTGTCCCTAAATAAGTGCTAAAGGTTCAGCAACTGGTCACTTCGCTGCCACGTTACGGTTGCAGGCAAGCCAAGACTGCAACATACAGTACCTTCAGATGGCAGTCGTCTATCGTCCATTACCACAACTTGGATCGCCCAACACTGAGCACCAGCAGTCGACGACACCAGTGAATCTCAGATAGGTATGTCTCCAATATTTTCTTGAGATCTTTCACTTAATCTCACTAAGGCGTACATAAACAAAGTTCCAAATGCATCTCCTATTTTGGGACAGCTCCACTTGTGACTCTCGTCTCGGCGTCCATTCGGCGATCGTATCATCGGCGAGGAACCGCTGTGATCATTGAGCAAGAAGCTCCACAATAGGAGACTTGGGAATGAAAATGGAGCGCGGGCCTAGCTACGCGGAGTATGAGGACGGCGCACCAGTAAACGTGACTAACGGGGCGCTCGCATCCAGCTCCGGGGGACTGACTAAGCGCGTCAACATGCCCACCACCACGGGGCGCATTATGGACCGCAAGGACACGCTGTTTAAGCGCTCCAAGGGCCAGTGGAAGTGAGTGCAACTGCTATACACTATCATACCAAATGAGTTCGATGGGTGGCTACTTACTGACAAGCTTTGTGACGTTGTGCCTGCAGTATTCGTCGCAAGAAGGTGCCCCACTACTGGAAGCTTTACATGCAGGACCCGTTCCATTCGGTCGTCAACATGCGGCTGAGCAAAGTGCTTGGGTCGCTAGTGTTTGCGGTGCGTTGTAGTAGCGAAAATTCTGGTTGGAAGCCTGAGAACTAATGTGATCGTGTGATTTTTTGGACTCCAGTATCTCGTGGTGCTCACAACGTTCGGCGCGCTGTACATGACGCCGTCCGACGAGTGCAAACTGGCCGTCCACACCTTCTTCGACGGTTTCTCCTTCTCTGTCTCAGTGCTCTTCACCATCGGCTTCGGTACCAACGGTGGCGACGTCTTCTTCGGGCGATGTGTTTGGGTGCAGACGATCATCACCCTCGAGTCGTTAATGGGAATTTTGCTCGATGCCCTGGCCATCGGAATCATCTTCCAGCGGTTCTCACGTGCGCAGGCTCGTGCCAATACTATTGTCATGAGTACGCACGCTTGCGTCCGTCGTATCCGCGGCAACCTGTACTTCATGTTCCAGGTGTGCGAAATGCGCAAGCACCAGCTAGTGGAAGCTCATGTTCGCATGTACGCGGTCCGCCACGACGTGGAGTTTGGCGAACACTACTATTTCCAGTCGTACCCGATGCGTATCCAGCACCCTGATGACGATCTTGGAGGTATGATGCTTCTGGCTCTGCCGTCCGTTGTTGTCCATCGCATGGACGCCTGGAGTCCGCTGCTGCGGCCTAAGAGCGTCGAGACTTGTGGGCTGCATCACAACCCTGCGAGAGGATACCTGTTCCCAGAGCCTCTGTGTCGTGAGGCCGACGCTCAAAGCGGAGATCGCGACGCCTCAGTACAGGTTGACCAGGCCACCAACCCAGTGCACAACACGTGCCGCTGCACTACCGGAAACGCTGCTATGGGCGACGTGCATGCTGCCACGCAGCCACCGACCATCGAGGAGATCAAGCAGTACTGGGACGAGTCACAGGTATGAGGAGACCACTGGTATTTTTATTCCTTGCGTAGTGGAGTCTAATGTATCGCTTCGTGTTTTTTTTGCTATGCAGTTGGAGGTTGTGGTGCTTGTGGAAGGTATCGACGCTGTCACGTCGGCGACAATTCAGGTTCGGCACTCGTACAAGGCAGAGGACATTTTGTTTAACCACCGCCATGCCAACTGTGTGGACGTGGACCCGGAGACTGGTGGAGCTGTGATCGACTTCCGTCGCTTCCACGAGACGAAACCTGTGGATTCCGAATGTAACAAGGTCGCTGGCAGCTTCTACTAACAGCTCGAGCTGCTGTAGTTAAAGTGAATAAAGCTGCGTTGTGTACCTGATAAATTCATACTTTAGATCACCTCGTGTTATTTTGCTTTCCAACGATTGCGTTGCCGTGTCAGGAACATGGAGACACCCGAGTTCTTACCACCTCGAGCACATTTTTTTTTCGCTTTTGAAGAAACATGGACACTATACTAATGCAGGACTTCCAGGACTAGATAAGCGAAGCCACATTGCGTTTTCTGAGACCGTACCATGCATTTCTGTGACGTGGCACTGGCAAGTTTTTCGCTGCCTCATTCGAGCTACATGTATTCTCCAAAGCACGCAAAGCGCAGCAACTCGCTGGTCAACACTGCAGCAAAACCCCTATCCTGCGTGAAAGTTTGCCCCGAAACGACCACCTCTGGTGTTGGTGAACCACCAGTTATTTAACCGACAATTTGTATGTCGAACCCTGCAAAATCGACACTTTGAACCCCGCATTTCTTGCCGGTGGCAAATCCTTTCTTACATGAGCAAGCAACCAAAAGCGTCGCGATCACTTCGCAGTGTTGGTTGCAAAGCCACGACTGTTTGTTGATAGATGTGCATAATCCGTGCATTTGGTGCTTGGATTCCAAACCAAGCACCAAAAAAAAAAAAAAAACTGCGATCCAAGTTGAATCCCCTCAAGTTGCAACTCGAGGTTTTATTCACACGAGCCAAACTTCGACCGCCCTTGCTTGCGCATCAGCGAGCATTGGGCTCATTCTCGGATTCTCCGTCCAAGCCGCAAGGTCCCCAGCCACTCTTCATATCCACAATGGCCTTCCGTCAGGTGTTCAAGACGCAGGCGCGTCACATGAGCTCGAGCTCGCGCAAGTTCTTCGTGGGCGGCAACTGGAAGTGCAACGGCTCCCTGGGGCAGGCGCAGGAGCTCGTGGGAATGCTCAACACGGCCAAGATCCCGGCCGACGTGGAGGTGGTCGTGGCGCCGTCGCAGGTGCACGCTGCCACCGTCAAGGCCTCGCTGCGCGCCGACGTGCGTGTCAGTGGCCAGGACGTCTGGAAGCAGGGCAACGGCGCCTTCACGGGCGAGACCTCGGCCGAGATGCTCAAGGACCTGGGTGCTGAGTACACACTCGTGGGCCACAGTGAGCGCCGCGAAAAGGGCGAGACCAACGAGATCGTGGCCAAGAAGGCTGCTTACGCTCTTGAGAAGGGGCTTGGCGTCATTGCCTGCATCGGTGAGACCAAGGAGCACCGTGAAGCCAACCAGACGGTGACCTACATCACGGAGCAGCTCGACGCTTACGCCGCCGAGATCAAGGACTGGACCAACGTCGTTATTGCTTACGAGCCCATCTGGGCCATCGGCACAGGTCTCACGGCCTCCCCTGAGCAGGCTCAGGAGGTACACGCCAGCATCCGTGCTTGGCTTAAGGAGAAGGTGTCGCCCGATGCCGCTGACAAGACCCGCGTCATCTACGGTGGCTCGGTTGGCGCTAAGAACGCCCCGGAGCTCTCGCAGAAGGAGGACATTGACGGCTTCCTGGTCGGCGGTGCTTCGCTCAAGCCTGACTTCCTCCACATCATCAACGCCCAGAACCCAACGACCAACGTCGGTGGTGCTGTGAACGTTGCTATCAACGGCTTCGGCCGTATCGGTCGTCTGGTGCTGCGTGCTGCTGCCAAGAACCCGCTCATCAACATCGTTGCTATCAATGACCCGTTCATTTCGACTACGTACATGGAATACATGCTCGAGTACGACACGGTGCACGGCAAGTTCGATGGCTCGCTCTCGCACGACGAGAAGCACATCTTCGTGAACGGCAAGCCTATTCGTGTGTTCAACGAGATGAACCCTGCCAACATCAAGTGGGGAGAGGAGCAGGTGCAGTACGTGGTGGAATCCACGGGTGCCTTTACGACCCTCGAGAAGGCATCGGCTCACATGAAGAACGGTGTGGAGAAGGTGGTGATCTCGGCTCCGTCCAGCGACGCCCCCATGTTCGTGATGGGCGTGAACCACGAGCTGTACGAGAAGAACATGCACGTGGTGTCGAACGCTTCGTGCACGACGAACTGTTTGGCTCCTTTGGCCAAGGTGGTGAACGACAAGTTCGGCATCAAGGAAGGTCTGATGACGACTGTGCACGCTGTGACTGCCACGCAGAAGACGGTTGACGGTCCGTCCAAGAAGGACTGGCGTGGTGGCCGTGGCGCTTGCTTCAACATCATCCCGAGCTCCACTGGTGCCGCCAAGGCTGTGGGCAAGGTGATTCCGAGTCTGAACGGCAAGCTGACGGGCATGTCGTTCCGTGTGCCGACTGCTGATGTGTCTGTGGTGGATCTGACTGCTCGTCTGGTGAACCCCGCCTCATACGACGAGATCAAGGCTGCTATTAAGTCGGCGAGTGAGAACGAGATGAAGGGAATTCTCGGCTACACTGAGGAGGCAGTCGTCTCGAGTGACTTCATCGGCGACTCGCACTCGTCGATCTTCGATGCTGAGGCTGGCATTGCTCTGACCGACGACTTCGTGAAGCTTGTGTCGTGGTATGACAACGAGTGGGGTTACAGCTCGCGTGTGCTGGACCTGATCGAGCACATGGTCAAGAACGAGTAAGCCGCTGCTAGTCGTGTCGACTTAAACCCGCTTGGGACGTGAAAATACAAAAGCAAAAATTATTCATTTCAAAGCTAAAGTTACGTCGTATTTTGTGTCTGCTCGGACACCAAATTACAATTTTCACTGTATAATTCATAACATACGCCTTGGGAATGTCGCTCCTGGTACCTGACTACGCGAGCTCTTCGGAGGACGAGGCAGCCCCCGGCGTGTCTGCTCCCACTCCACCATGTGCTCCTGCTCTCCGCCCACTTCCTGCTACAAAGACTCTCGACAGTCCCGTGTCCAGCGCTCGAGAAGCCGCGCCAAAGCCCAAGAAGGCGAAAAAGAAGGTCAAAAAGAAGAAAAAGACGACTTTGTACCTGCCACCGGAGATCCAGCGGCTATTGGAGACAGGAACTAGCGGCGGTGCCTTGTCCGACGACAGCGATGACGACAACGAGCTGTTGGCCAAACACAAACGCGCCAAGAAGGCGGCAAACAAGCGCCCAAGACCTTCGGATACCGATAAAGACTCTGTCCTGTCCTTCCTGCCGCCGCCCAAGCACGACCTCCCCCAGCCAGATGCAGTGACCACTGCTAATGTTGCAGTGGAGGAGAAACAAGCGCAGGAACAGATGCAGGAGCACGCGCAGCAAGCCGCAGAGACTCAAACAGGCCAGCAGCCAGTGGACGAGGCGACGGCGGCGGCCAATGCAGCGGCGTGGCAGCAATACTACCAACAACAGCAATACCAGGCTAGCTATGCAGCTTCACAGGATTATTCCGTCGCACAAGGAGAGGAAGACGTGCCTGGAGGCAGCTCCAAGCGCAGGAGAACTCGGGAACGAGACATAGAGAGAGCTCTGCAACAGGGTCACTTTGAGACGGTGGCGGACCAGATCACGGAGGTGCAGGGCCCAGCGCCTAATGCTTGGCAGCCACCGGTTGACCCGCTTACGGGAGCTAGCGGAGCCAAGGGATCCAGTGACCAGGAGATGAAGCTGAAGGCCAGCTTCTGGAACTCTCAGGCCGGCACGACAGTATCGTCGAGCAAACCGAGCCGTCTGCAGAGACAGAAACATCAGCTTAACCAACTGGCGTTCGACGCCAAGGCACGTGACTTTGACCTGCTGGAGAAGCGTGGGGCCTCATTGAAAACAAAGAGGGAAACGTACGCCAAGTATGGCTGGTAAAAAAGTGTTAAACCAAGGTGCTACTGATATACTTGTGTCCTCCTAGCATAAGCTCTTCTTATGGCCGATTGAGCTGCTCCATAGCTGCTGTCTGTTCCTCCACACTAGCAGACATGTCTTCAGTATCTTCAGGGAGGTCCTCTTCCTCGTGCTCGTCCTCATCGTCAACACCCTCTTCTTGCTCCTCCTCCTCGAGGAATTCTTCAGTAAACACCTCCATCTCGTGCTCCATGCGTGCTGTCTCGGCCTTACTGACTTTGCCACGACGACTGGCACCTAACGTCTTGAGTTTGCGGTCGCCCTTGTGGTGTCTGTTTTCACGTGGGTAGACCTTCCGCACCAGCACGAGATCAGGTAGTTCTTCCTTCAGCGTGTGCGTCTGGCTCGTGCCAAAGATGGCGGACGACAAGTCGTAACCTTTGACCGTATCACCTGCAGACAACACACCACCAAGATGCGTACGCACGTGGAACGTCGTGTCATTCACGCCAAAGTCGCTCTCACGAGCCACCTCCACGTCAGCCACCACGAACTTGGACTTGTGTCCTCTGCCCGAGATCGGAGCGGGTCCGACGTGGCGCAATTCACGCGGATCCACAGGCTCCACATCCAGCACGACGAACTCGACCATATCGGAGCTCGTAGCGAGTGGCAGGAACGGTAACTTCCAGTACCTGTCGGTCGGGAGCTCGGCCTTCTGGCCAGATACTGGGTCCAGCAAGTGCACCATGGACGTGGTGCGAGCACACAACGTCACGTCCGAGATATTACCGCAACTCTGCGCGAACTTCCTGGGCAGCACTAACAAGTCGTCCTTGCATATGGGACTCAGCTCGACGCTGTAGGTGAGCTGCAAGTTGGCCGTCGAGTTGTGCACATTCTCCGAGATGAGTTTACTGGAAGACTTGGAGCGCATAGGCACATGAGCCGACAAGAAGTGGATGAAGCGTTCAGCTATGGATTTGGTACCAAAGTAGAAATCCATTCCTTCTTTCACGGCCGTGATACCGATAGCGTCCTGGTGTGCGTTGTGCTTGAGGATCTCCTGTTCAAGTCGAAGAAAAGTGCGCTTATGCTCGGCCTTCTGACGGATCTGTACGAGCGCTTTCCATGTGTTATTGTGGTATTGCTTGGTGCAGTCCGGACACTTGACACTGTGGATGACGAAGGTGAAGATGCACGTGTTCTGGATCACGGCGTGATTGGCCACTTCTCGCTGCAGGGTGAGGCGCAGTTTCACGCGCTTGGAGTGCGGCTCGGTCCAGATGAAACCTGCGTCGATGAGTTTGGCCTTGTTGAGGCCAGGGATGCTCTTGAGACACAGCGCCATGAGCTCCTTGGACTCCCAGTCGCAGTCCAGCCACGCACCTGACACACTACTGTACTGTTGCGTCTTGCCGCGCGACTGGAAGCGCAGGCAGCCGCGGCATTGCACCAGTTCGCACGTCGTGGCGATACCCTCGGCCACGTCCACCTCGGTCGCGATGCAGGACGCGCACATGTTCATGGCATTGGCCTCGATCTGAGCGCCGCACATGCAACACGAGATAGCCATCGTCGGAACAGAGGGGCACTTTTGTTGAGACCTGATGGATTGCCTTTGATTTTGATAATGAACAATTTTGGGACTTTTGCCAGAAAGGATTGCGTCATCATTTGTATTTTTCATGAAAACGTGCGACTTATCCAGTTTTTGCCACCACAGGCAACGTTCTTCGATTGGTCAGCATTGCGAGTGTTGGTGGTTTCTTTTATCCCAATGGGAAATTCCCGTACGGTTGAAAATGCCCATCCACGTCGTGTGGCTTAGCTTCACTGCTTAATCGAAACGGGGCTGAGAAATATCGGTCTCGCATCTGATTCAATGGTGGTTGATATTTTTTTCAGTTATAAAAAGTCGTTGTTTAGAGCATCTCCAGCGGTTAGACTTATTTGCAAGTCCTATTGAGGCGGATGGGACCTCATTTTTTGAATAGAACTCCTGATTGCATCTTGTCTACAGCGGTTTGGAACTCACAGCGCGACTTAACATTTTTTGTCCAATCAAACTACGACACAAAAGATCTCTCTAAATACCGCACTAATGCCGTGCGTTACCCGGGA